AATTTAGTTCCTATACTCCACTTATCTGGAACAAACATCCAGAAAACTGTAAAAGTGCGGAAAGCCTGAGTTCCTTTAAATCAAGACTAAAAACACATTTGTTTAGGATTGCCTTTGACTGTTCTAGTTAAACAGTTCAACTGAAACATCATTAGTTTAACTTTTTTTTATTTTCTTTAGTCCAATTGTTTTTAATATTCTATTTTGTTTCTGTATTTTTTATTTTATTAAAAAATTTTTTCTACTTGCTTTGATTCCGTTTTAGTTTTCCTATATTTTAATCATGTAACACACTTTGCATTGTCTTTGTACTGAATTGTCCTATACAAATAAATTTGCCTTGCCTTGCCTAAACATGAGTCAGAAATGATCTACTGCTCCTTTAATTTGTATAGTTGCTCGTAAATAAAAATATCCTCAGAGATTAAATTGTTATTATATATTAAGAGAACATTAATCTGACTAATAGCTTTTCCATTATTAAACTGTTACATTATTATTTTTTTTTTTTAGGTTTATGACAATATTAAACCATTCTAAACACAACCCCCCCACCCCTTAGACCCTTAGAACACTCCACCTGATTGAAGGCAAGACAGACAGAGGGATAATTTAAAAAAAGCTGATTAAAGGAAAAGTCCGGTCAGCAAGAAATAATCAATGGATCATTATTTATACCTAAAACTAATAAATTCACACTTATTTCATGAATTAAGCGTAAATCAGTAAAATAATAAAAACAATAATTTTTGTCACAATCATTGAGTCTGGGACCGGTAACAAAATATAGTAAAACCTCACTCCTGACATCTTCCAGCAGTGACTCACGGTGCGGTAAGCCTAGCGCCATTCTCCCCGCTTTACAAGCAAAATCAGTGGGAACTACTAGACACATCTTCAATCAACAACAATTATTTAAGATTTCGAGAGGACTTCACCATTGAAATTTGTGAGAGCTATAGTTAAGCTGAGAATGTATTACAACATCCAACTGCCATGCACCGGGGCATGGCAGATGCATGTCTCCAAGCACTTTGGGCTGTCCATAAAGCAGTCTCTAACTCAACGAAAAATAAGTATTATAGGTCACTTTAATGTGTCGCCTGGTCAGGTGTCTGGTTCATTCTGTGGTCCAGGACAGGGTCGGCCCAGCTCAAGCTCATTTGAAGTAAAGCCGTGAGTGAAAGGTACCAACACAGTTTGAATTAAAGGAGCCCAAAGAAGAACAGATCATATGTTAAAGTTAAATCAAAGCCTTAAATAATCAAGGTTAACAAATTAAACCTTAGTTTTAATTAATGACTCAGTTACTTGCCTATTTGAAGGGATGCCCAATTATTATTATTATTCTCATATCAATCACCTTTACTCTTAATTTAAACAGCTTTGCATTAACTTTTGTGTCAGGGGAAAGAATGAGCCATGAAAGCTAGAAACTGTCATGTTTTACAGTTCAACCCTAACTTTTTTCTCACCTCTATTTCCTGAAAAAACAAAAAATAGCTTAATTGTCATCTCAGAAAATGACAACTGATACCCCCACAATCCACAAACTCAGACAACAGAAAAAACACACAGAGAACAAAGAAATTGCCAAAAATATAATTGATCCAACTTCCTAATTACAGCATGAAAACCTTTTCTCTCACTGGGGGAGGTTAGGCTGATTCCTGGAGCCCTTAGCCTACCCATCTTTACCGAACCTCCTGTAACTGAGTCAGCGGTAAATTTGCATTTCTCAGTCCATTTATCTGCAGATAATTTACCTCTAGTCAATAAAGAGCAAACCAGTTACCATTCGGCTGTGACCCAACCTTGGATAAAAAGGGAGATTTCTCTGAAGACCACCTCTGACTATAGTGGGAAAAAGGTGTTAAACTGTTTACCCCAGTTAAATAAACAGAGATTGATGGATTTCGTTCAGTAGGCACTTTGTTTTCATATCTTTGCAAAGAGAGAACAGTTCATCATACGACCCTTATGGCACAGTTATCTACCTTGTTCTGATCTAAACAGTTTGCCTCCCTTTCTTACAATGAGAAAAAAGCTGTGAAGGTTGTGTCAGAGTCAAAATAAATTACACACACTTTGGTTAAACAATAACAATTCTTGATAAAGAATATGGCTTGTTAGCAGATGTGTCAGGATATATATATATATATATATATATANTAGATAGATAGATAGATAGATAGATAGATAGATAGATAGATAGATAGATAGATAGATAGATAGATAGATAGATAGATAGATAGATAGATAAGAAACAAAAGAAATCAACATTTTCTGACCACATGACCTAAGAGCCTTATGGGATATTGTGCTGCTATCATTCAAAGTTTAACTTGGAGTTGCCTCCTCTACCTAATGACTGTTTGTTTCTGAGGTGAAAAATCCTAATTGCCTTTTATGTCCCAGTAGAAAGCTTTATCAGCCATTTATAACTTTATTTCAGGGGCTATTTCAGTCTTAATTTTGAAAGTAACGCTTTTTTTGATCATACATTTAAATCTATTAAGGTTAAATTTTCTTTTAAGCATACTTGTTTTACATATAACAAAAAGGTGGATTTGAGTAAAATCCTTAAGTGTTTAAATCTGAGGATACTTGAGCCATGCCGACTGAAGATTTCCCACTGTCTCAAAAACATCAGTTCGTAGCTTCTGCCGACCCCAGGGAACAATAAGTCAGAAGTCCTCCATCTATTTGGGCTGAGGCCAGGAATTAATCCCAGGTTGATCAGACACTGCTGTTATAACTGCTCTCAGAAAAAAACAGTCGAGGGATTCCTTCAGAACAACGCCAAATTGTTGTAGGAAAAAGGTATTCAACTATACAGTCCATTTAAATAAATGGATATAGATGGATTTTGCTCAGTCGACACTTTATTTTACTTCACTAAGTTAAATAACAACAACGGCCCTCACAGCATGATGTTCAGCCCTGTTCTGATCAAGACGTTTTGTCATTCTTACTTACAGTGATGGAAATCATTGTTGAATGCTTTGTGGCCTTGTAGCTCTGAGGTCTTAGTTAATGAAACTCAGCAATAATAATCAATATACATAAGGGAATTAATAGGAGATTATTTTCCCACCACAGCATATAGACTTAAAGATAACTTGATGGATGAATGGATGGATGGATGGCCTAATGTTAACTTCAGGCATTAAATGAGTGCAGTTCAATAGTTGCTATGTTGTCCTACAGTACCCAAACTACTTTTTCTATGCCACTTTCCTCTAAGCAGGAGGTTCTGTGATCGAGAGGACGCTGAAGCATTTCAGCTACAGATAGTGAACATTTCACAAAACGTTATGTCCAAAAACCTGAAATAGCCTTTAAAAAAGTATCAGTATCATTTGCAAGCTTTACTCTCCCCCTCACATCTCTGTAAGAACAAGGTTTACACATTAAAATGTGTTAATGGGAACTCCATTACTTGAGGTTTTACATTGTGGAGGTTCATAACATCTTTTTGTCATGTGTGCTTATCACCAAATTCAATTATTTACATATGTAGAAAGATTAAAGTTGAGATATCACATGATTTCTGGAGATTTTTTATGCTATACCAGTTGAACACATGACCATCTGTGTAGCAGTTCTTTCAATTTAAAAAGTGCAGCTAAAAATACAGTCATTTAAGCTTTAAGAAATAAAAATACAACGTGTATAATTTTATGAATTACAAATATACATTTTAAAGTATCATGGTTTGTACTGCAGATACATAAAATTAAGTGGCAATCATTTTAAGAAGCTAATAGTTGCACAAGATGTGGGCCTTAGTTGTCATCAATACTATTACAATATACAACTCCTCTTATACAAACAATTTTATATATTATACAGGCAATACTTGAAGATGAGAAAGAAATGCCATCAGAAAACAGACTGGGCCGGGATCCAATGCAAATGGGGATCTGTGAGCCACTCTATTCAAGATGGAAGTAGGTGCAGAGTCATTGTAATCAAAGTACATTGAAGAGTTAATGTTTTGTATTGTGCAAGTATGAATGATGTGAAAGCAAAAATAACATCAATATCATAATGAAATGTCACTTGAAATCAAATAATAGTTTGTCTGGACGTATACTGGATGTATTCTCATAATTTTGGTGAGTCAGTATCGTCCTGAGGGTCCTGTATAAAAAAAACAAACAAAAAAAACAGAAGAAGGGTCATCACAACATTCCACACTGCCTCTGCAATGACAGTTATACTAAATCCGGGATCTACAACCTGTTGCTCGGGAGCCACAAGTTGCTCTTAAGACACTTGAATAATATATTTTGAATATACATTTTTACAGTATAATGGCTTGTATTGAGGGTCCATAAAACTGGTAGAAGTGGTTTTCATTTTGAGAAGATAATGGTTGCACAAGAAATGGGGCCTCAGTTGTCGTCAGTAGAATTACAGTATACAATTGGTATTATGTTGCAGACCCCTTTTTCAAATGTATTTATACATTTTTGAGTATGTAGGGATGCCTTTTATAAGGCGTGTCCACATGTAAGCACAGACAATTTGGAACAAATTTATTGATACATTAGGGAGATATGAGTGTTTGTATGTTCTAGGGGGGCACAGCTGAGTCAAAGCCCAATGATTTCCAAAGGAAATATTTGAGCTTGCTCATACCAGTTTTAGGTATATCTGATTATCCATGAATAATTTGAAGTTGATCATATACAAATGGTGAGATTTCAAAATTTGATTTGAAAAGTTCAGTCAGATGGGATTATGGTCTGGTTATATATTATATGTATACGGTATATATTCTAGTTGTGGATTAGGCATTAAGATTTGTGGAAATTAGTTAACTAAGTCCTAAAGGTTCAGCAGATTTGATTCTTTCCCTGAAATCTCATTTTCACGTCATGGTATTCCAGAAGTAATAATCACAGATAATGGTCCTCAGTTTTTGTGTGTTGCTTTTGCTACATATGCAAAGTTATATGGACTTTGCAATAGTACAAGTAGCCCAAGATATCCACCAAAAAACAGGGAAGCTGAACGTGTGTTAAAAAAAATAAAAGCCTTGCTAAAGAAAGGAGCTGATCCATATCTTGCCTTAATTTTTTACAGGGCAATACCACTTTGGAATGAGTACAGTCCAGCAGAGCATCTTATGGAAAGAAAAAAAAAGAAGAAGAAAGAAGACTTTGCACGATAGTGCTAACATTTCCCTCTTTGTTGCTGCTAGTTCTTTCAAACAGTAAGATCATTGTTCACAAGGAAAAGGTGTGAAGGATGAAAGATTTAGAGAGATATGAATCACGCCACAGAGCAAGAGTTCTTGGATTAAGTTTGCCAAGAACTCTAGCTCTGTGGCGTGATTCATATCTCACGTCCATACATGTTGGAAGACGCCATGGGTGGATTTGGCGAAATCATCATCATTTAGTTGCCATGGATCCCTTGACAGACCCAGAAGTAGTAAAAGGTGATGCTGCTGCAGAACATTTTAAAGCAAGTTCTAAAGAGTCTCCACAGCTGAGCCCCCCTGAACGTTCACCTACTCCTAGAGCTATGTTTTGGGGGTGGATTGTGAAACCAAATCTACTGGACTTGTAGCTAAAGGAAATAAAATAAAGGTGTAACTATTTTGCTTTAAGTTTAAGAATTGTATCGTTTTTTTCTAGCTCTAGGTAGAAACAGACCTTCCAGCTATAGAGACAGAATAATCCTCTAAGGTCTGCTGAATCAATGGTAATCCACCCATTGATTCTAGAGTGAAGACATATGGCGTTATTGTTATGCATGTTTAAAAACTACAAATGGCTACCTGTGATGAGATAATAAAAGAACGTCAGGCTCCGGTAGTTCAGGTGACAATGATTGTTATAGGAAGCGCATGCTGGAAGTTTGTTGATCCCAAATAAATCAATAATGATGATACAGTTTCACTCAGCGCAGATTTTTTTTATAACACAACAATTTTCACTCAAGGTACTGTTTATTTAATTACCCATGTCACATAATTCGTTTTTGCTCACTGCTGAACCTATTGCTATGGAGCGTTCTCTTCAGTGTGTGGTGTAAATTTTAAATTTCAAACATACTCTTGTATGCCGCTTTAATCGGCTCACGTGCCGTTATGTGTCCAGTATATTTACTGCTTTAGTGTCTGATCTCAAAAATTTTGCTCTAGTCAAATGGTATAGTATTGTCATGCATATTCCTAAAAAGTCTGGTTCAAATCTATATAGCTTTAATTTTAGAAATGTGATTAAATTGAAGCCTAAAAATCAATAATGAAGTTCCTACTGCAAGTGTAAGAAGCAATTTACTTTTCCAGTTTTTATGTCTCCACTTAATGCATGTCACCAATTAAATGTTAATATAAAAAATAAAAACAAACACAAAGAATATGTTGCCAGATATTGCATATGGTTTAACGTCCCAACAAATGGGATTAACAAATGAAATATGCTGTAATACACCGATATGCAATTGTAGGTACTGGTATGAAACTGCTATAAAACTCCCGTTGAGTTTGATTTAGGGAACAAACTTCAGTTATCAGTGTAAATATTGCATCAGATCTATCTACACAGAAATGTTTGTTTTTTTTATCTTTATGTGAAAAATAGTATTAAAGGCTTCTATCTTTTAGATTTTTTGTAGCTATAATAAAAAATAAAATAAAAAAAAACTCACCATTTCTATTTCTTTTCCTCAAGAACCAAAAAGCTGCACTGACCAGAGTTGTTAAAAACAGCAGAATGGTTCCAACAGAAAATAAATATTTTCGAGATGAAGAACCTTGAAAAACAGAAAGAAAAAAAACACAGTATCTTTCATACGGAAGGATGGTTTTGGTTGTGATTGCGAAAAATTAAAAACACCCCTTACCGGTAATTTAATATAGAGAGAAATGCAAGTCAGTAAAAAAAACAACAACCACTGATTCATTAATTTTTTTAAAGTTACAACTCTTACAGGGCCACGGTCCACCCTTATCAGAGTCTAAGATGCACTGGGAACAAATACAACCTAATGCCGGAAATACAGATCAAGCTCCAGCTCAGCCTGTACAGATACTGGATGGCCCCTACTAATGGGACCCCGACTAAAGCACTCCTCAAACGCCCTGGGTGATGAATGAATCCAGCCACAAGAACACTGTCTCTTCTTTAATAAGGTTTTCCTTTTACCATCCAATGATCTCCTCTTTCAAAATCAGCAGCTCCCCACTCCCCGATCCCAACAAAACAGTCTTAGCAAAGCGCTGCCTCCCCCTCTGGAAGCATCGGATGGTTTGCCAGAAGCGGTTTGACGCCAGCTGATAGCTTTTGTCAGTGGCCTCTCCAAACTCCTCCTAGGCTGGAGTTTTTGCTACAGCAACCACCCAGACAGTGACAGGTATATGGAGGACCAACTCTGACATATTAAAAAATAAATACATAAATAAATAAATAAATGCTCGATAAATAAATAAGCATAGAATTAATTGCCCCCCAAAATACAATAAACAAATAAATGTATGTAAAAATTTAACTATTCAGTGAGACATAAATGCATATAGCTCTTTTAATTAGCTTCTTTATTTATTCGCCTTTGTAATAATTACCATATTTATTTATTGTCCAATTATAATCTTCACCTTTATTTATTTATTACTTATTTTTTTTAAGTATTTATGTGCATGTGATAATATTTTGGTTAGTTTTATTCTTCCTTTGTATTTTTTGACCCTATTTATTCCTTCAACACTATTTATTTCTGCCTGTTGTTTTTACATTTCGGCATTTCTGCCTCATTATTAGTCTTACATAGTCTTACATAGTCTTAGAGGGTCAATCCTGCCCATTGGTTGGTTAGCATTTTACTGCATCGGTGAAAGAGAGGAGGAGAGGAGAGTCTGAAGTCGAGTTTGAAGTCGGTGGCCGTTTCTCAATTCATAAGAATGCAAGTACAGACTCATGTCCTCGCCAAGTATGTTCTTGAAAAGAAGCCAGGAAAACCTGGACTCGGGGAGAACAGGAGCACACAGCATAAATCTGGGTCAATTAGAACTCGTGACCTCAGATGCTCGGCTCGTCTAAAGCTGCTTTTCTCCTCCTGTTATTAATAGTTTCTAGATCAGGGGTCTTCAACATTTTCCAGGCATAGGACCCCCAAACTGTTAACGAGATGGAGCGGGGACCCCCTAATTATATACATTGTATCAAATTGGTCTTATAGTCATATGGAGTAATGTAATAAAAGTAATTTCGCCCTTTGATTATTAAAGTATTTCTGTTTCTGATTCCTTGTTAATGGGACAGGTGTTGTGAATGAAACGGTGCACAGCTTGAAAGATCTCTTGTGTGTTGCTGAGTGTGTGCATTGATGCCTGAAAGACATCTTCTGCCTGCATTTATATGTTTACTTCAGTGTGTTGAATTCATGTTAATATGTATTTAAAGACATTTCAATTAGTGGAAAAAATTGCAGGGGGGGATCAATCAAAACTTCTGCGATCCACATGCAGTACCTCTGTGGACCCCCTAGGGGTCACGGACCCCCTGTTGAAGACCTCTGCTCTAGATAATAATAAATTCTGACTTTTTTCATTTAGTGGGGGAATAATAATTAACACAGTCAAATAAACAAAATTCAAATGAACATTTTGCCAAATAAAACAAAAAATCAGCATCATAGCCAGCGGTCCATCACACAGGGCTATGCCGAGAGAGGGCTGGTGCAGACGGGCTAGGATTAGCTCTGGCTGCCGTTACCCTCGAAGCTCCGCTGGTTGCCATGGTCCTCTCAACGTTGGAACATTTTTTATTTTTATTACACACATAATCTTTAAATGGGTCATATAGTGACGCTTAGCAGTATAATTTTCTCGCCTCAAAAGATCTTAAAACGAACTTTTATTGAACAACAGCAACAGAAAAGTGTACTTTTAACTTAATACTCTGAGCTCTGTGAGTTAAGAAGATGGGCCGCCAACCAATGGGCAGAAATTGACCCTCTAAGACGCCTTCTTATTTGCATAATGAGGCAGAATACAAACAGAAATGTTAAAACGAGATGCAGAAACAAATAGCATTGAAGAAATATATAGGGTAAAATAATACAAAGGAAAAATAAAACAGACAAAAATATTATATCATGCACACAAATAAATACTTAAAAAAATAAGTAATAAATAAAGTTGAAGATTATGACGGACAATAAATAAGTAAATAAGGTAATTATAACAAAGATGAATAGATAAAGAAGCTCATTAAAAGAGATTCATACATTTATGTCTCACTGTATAATTTATTTTCTACCTACATTCATTTGTTTATTGTAATTTTGGGGGCAATTAATTGTATGCTTATTTATTTATTGAGCATTAATTTATCTATGTATTTATTTTTAAATATGGCAGAGTTGGTCCTCCAGTCTAGTTTAAAAAAAAAAGAGGAGGATAGTGGAATTTTTTTTTGTTTTTTGGAAGCATACATAGCGGTATGCTGGTGAAGATTCTCAGTCATCCAGATCATAGTCATTCCAAAAAAGTAAAAACAAACAAAACAATCCACTGGACTTCGTTTCCAGGTTTGAAGACGTTTTGCTTCCCATCCAGGTAGCTTTTTCAATTCAAAATGGCAGAAATAGCAGTGAGCTAGAAGCTTTATATAGCAGTCCAAAGACTTCTAACTTAGAAACAAAGTCCAGTGGATTGATTTTTTTTAACTTTGATAGCCTAATTAATATAGTCTATTAACCTAAAGCAATATGCATGGTATGGTCATCACATGCCTGGTACGCCGGTCAGTGACCTTGACTGAGGTACTTTACAGTAGAACTGCTGTCAGTCCCTCGACTGGCATGGCTTTCATGATTTTTTTTTAAGCCCACAGCCCACCAAATGTTGAAAGGGCAATATTATTGCCATTACTGTTAACATACAGTATACATTTTACACATTCAGTGATAAAATGTCAAAGGGGATGCTGTGGGGGATGGTCATTTTTTAAGAGGTAGATGCCATCCCCCCTCATATTCCTTCAACTCGAGTACTGGTGACAGGCTTGGACTCATGATAACTGCTTCTTCAGCTTGAGAGCCTGCCTTACTGCTGTTGTCCAACACAGGGCTTGGGGATTGCCAGCGCAACAGGCACTGCAGAAATTACAGTCACAGGTATTGACGGCCCCATAAACAATGGAGGCGGAGAACATTGTCCACTCATACTCTGTGTCTCCAACCACCCATGGTATCTGGCAGAAGCTCCCTGGTGATGGGAGTTGAAAATATTTTTGACTGAGGGCTCATCCAGATGTTACCGGTAGACCAGCTTGTTTGGGGCTGCAAAGCCTGTCCAATTTCCTTTTTTTCCAGCATATCTTACCACCAAATTGAGATCAGTGGAAAGCTCTGCCCCTCTCTTCACAAGAGTGTCCATGAAATGCCACCGAAGGTCAGAAAATAGGATCAACAACCTCTAGCCTAGGTAGATGGACAACTTGCCCTCCATCTCTCCTTGTGGGCCATTTCAGAGTAGAAGAGAGTCCAGGCTCCCTTAAGGAGTTGGGTTCCAGAGCCCCAACAATGTGTGGAAGAAAGTCAACTATTTCTAACTGATATTGCCCCACTTCCTACAGAAGCTCAGGCTCCTTCCCCCCCAGTGAGGTAATATTCCCCATCCCCAGAACCCCAGTGCCTGTGGATTGGGTCATTGAGGCCTCAGTCTGCCCAATCCTCTCTGCACCAGTCCCTCATGTTTCCCCCTGCAGGTAGTGGGCCCAGAGGGGAATGGCCTCATGTCACTCCTTCGGGCTGACTTCGGCCAGGTCCTGCGAGGAAGAACCTGCCTACCAGATATTTGCCAACAAACCCCAAAACTATGCCTGGACCCAGGGTGGGGTCCCAGCTCCACCGTACCAGGTGCACTGGCCTCTTCGTCATTAAGGGGATATTCTGAACAGCTTTTTGTCTGACCCATCCCCCAGAGCCTGTCTGCCTTTGGAGACCCTTCCAAGGAAAAGTAAGCCCTGACAGCATTGCCTCTGGTACCATTTGTGCACTTAAACCCCTCCACCACCTTAAGGTGGAGGTTGTTTAAAGCTTGCTACAAAAAGAGACAATGTCATGAGAAACAAGAAGTTTGTTTTTTGCAGGCCAAAATCCTGTTCAATTACTCTAAAGGAATTGGACATCTCAGGATCAAGATTTTCAATTCTTGTGGAATATGTGGTAACTATTAAATGTGAATTGATTAAATCTGATCAAGTGCAAAATAACATAAAAAACAATATAAATATGAATTTTCTTATTTTTAAATATACCTTGATTTGTCTTGATTATGACTCTGTCCAGTATGGTGGTGATCTTGTCCTCAAAACCAGAGAACTGAAAGAGGCAGTCATATCTATTCCAGTCTTCATCATTGATTGATGAAATATTAAGGTCCACACTTATCTGAAAGGTTCCATCATTATTGAAGAGGATGAATCCTATCTCCACGCCTTCATGGATCTCCTCTCCATCTTTCCTCCAGAACAATAAGGCGCTTTCAGGATAAAAACCAGTAGCATGGCAGGTAACCACAGAGGAGGGAGTTTTCTGGAGGAGCGACACTGAGGGAAGAACTGATGACACAAGTTGAAAAGAAATGTGGTTAAAAAACAACTGAAGTGAATGAGATTCCTACAACTACATAAAAAAGTACAAATGTAAGAATGTATCATTGAAATGTTATGTACAATATAAACCAGTAAAAACATTATTTTAGCATGTTATGTATTAAATGAAATTATGGTTATAACAGCTTCTGTCTTAAAGTAAAAACTCTTGGTGTTATTTTTGACTAGGACCTGTCATTTAAATCTCATATCATAGAGGTTTGTAGATTTTTTCTTCTTTTCATCTCTGTAATATTGAAAAATCAGAAATAGGCCATCCTGGGCAGGAGTGATGCTGACAAACTAGTCCATGCATTTTTTACTTCAAGGCTAGACAATTGTAGTTCTTAACTATCAGAAAGTCCACAAACTGTAGTTAAAATTCTTCAGCTGATCCAAAATTCTGCAGTTAGACTCCTGATACGAATTAAAAAGAGAAATCATATTTATTCTATCCTTGCTTCTCTTTATTGGCTTCCTATTAAATCCAGAATAGAACTTAAAATCCTCCTTCTTACATATAGAGCCCCACATGGCCAAGCTCCATCTTATTCCATCATCATACTGTATCAGAGATCTAATTATAACTTGTGTTCCTAAAAGAACATTTTGCTCTCAATCTGCAGTTTTGTTGGTTGTTACTAGAATATATAAAAATAGAATAGGAGGCAGGTCTTTTAGTTTTCAGGCTCCTCTCCTGTGGAACCAACTACCAGTTTTAGTCCAAGGGGCTGGCTAGGCTTAAAACTTTCCTTTTTGATAAAGCTTATTGTTAGAATGGCTCTGGTTATCCTGAGCTTTTCTCACAGTTATGCTGCTATAGGCTTAGACTGCTAGAGGACAGAGGAACTATTTTTCTTCATTCTTCTTCATTCTATCTCAATTCTTACATTCTGCAGTATTTGTTTAACCTCTAACTTTATGTGCTGGTGAAGAATCTCAGTCATTCAGGTCATTGTCATTCCAAAAAAGTAAAAAAAAAAAAGATCTATTAGACTTTATTTCAAAGTTTGAAGATGTTTCGCTTCCCATCAAGGAAATTTTTTCAATTAAAAATGTCAGAAATAGCGTTAGAGTTTGAGGCTTTATACAGTTACCCAACAAAGCCTTTTTTTTCGCTTAGACAAAATGCAAATTGAAATGGACTAACGGGTCCACCCCTTTGGAATGGAGGTCTTTGGCTTCTTTTGTTAGCCTGCAATGCCCCATACCTGTCTATGTCTTTGAAAGGGGGATTGTTAAAGGGAATTGTTGGCCTGGCTGAATAGGCGAGGTCTTCTGTTCCCCTGTGAAGAGAAAACTTTATGCTCTCTCTGCTGTCCTGCGCGTTCCTGTTTCTCTGCCTCACTGCATCAGCTTTACACCATGTCTGATGCTCTGTGCTGCTGCAAGCCACGTCTCATCTTCTGTATAACTTTAAGCTACGTATGATATTCTGTATAACTTCAAGCCATGTCGGATCTACTGTGGAGCTTCAAAACACATCATATCCTCTGCTGCAGCAAACCACATCTGATCATCTGTACAGCACCTGCCATATCTGAACCTCTGTACGGCTTCAAGCCACATCTAATCTTGACTGCATATTCAAGCCATGTCAGACCTTCACTGCAAATTCTAGATAAGGCCTATCCTCTCTGCCAACTTCAAGACAAGCCTGATGCTGTCTTTTATACCAGAACAAGTCTGGTCCTACCCACTTTTTCGTTTCTAATCTGCCCTTGCATGAACTGTCCGAATCAGTCCCATTTATCTCCAGTTACTGCCTAGCTACCCCCGTGTGCAGTGTTTTAACCTTTGGCAATAAAACTTTAAACACTTTGTTCTTGAAGTTGAGTGTTAGGCCGAGTGTTAGTGGTTCCTACAGTATTTTGCACCATCTATTTTGTTAGTTGTTTGTTTTCTGCATTATTGGAGCCTGCACAGCCCTTGCTACACTGGATCACATAAACATTGTTGTTTGGCTCAGGTTTGGGTTTTCTGTCTTCAGGATGGACCAGTTTTTATGTTATTGAGTTTTGTTTCGACAAATTCTTCTGATTTTCTAAAAAAAATTCTGAAACATAAGGAATCACAATTTGTTTGCATATATGTTTTCTCCTTTGTATTTCATGCAGTGTGGTTATTACTGCTAATATTTTAGCCATCTTAACAAATGCCCACTTTGGATAACCACATACTTCAAGTGATTTCCTAAAATGTTTGTGCTCTTCCGTTTCTCCTCTGAAGTTGAGGGAAGACAGGTAAAACACACCATTAAGATTCCTGTTGTCCTCATTGTGCTCAGCACAGTCAAGAAGGGGCAACATGTTCTTGGTATCCTTTTTAGTCAACTTGATTTTTCGGTCCACTAAGTTAATGTGACTAGTAAATCTCTCATTTCTGTGGGTGTGGATTGCACTGTGCCTTTTCAGTGAAACAGATAACCTGTTCAAAAAATGCTTCTGGAAGATTCTCAGAAAGTTGGACCTGGATTTTTTTCTCTCCTTTGTGAGAGTTCTTCAAAAGTTATTTGGTGGCTTAGGAGCTGGCTTTAATATCTTCAGAGGATCTCTTTTGCCCTGTGCCCTTTGATATGCTGTTTGGAAACAGTTTTGTTGTTCACATTTCAAACTAAAACAGATGTGTTTTCTGTGTTCTGGAAATATACTCATAATCTTGCACCAACATTAGGGGATCTTTCCCAAATTATAATGCAACATCCCTGTGTAAATTCTCAGCTATCTGGGTCATGGCAACCACACAACAGGCTTGGTCATGACAACCCCAAAACAGTAGTTGTCCAGTCGGCCCGAACATGTCTGACTGGACACCCACTTCTCATTCACCCTCACCATAAACACCAGAGTGTCACAAGGCTGTGTGATGAGTCCTTTCCTCTACCCCCTCCTCACCCATGACTGCAGACATGTCCATGGCTCCAACGCCATGATCAAGTTTGCAGATGACACCACAGTAATCTGCCTTATAGGCAGGAGGCGGATTGCCTGGCTGAATGGTGTGACACAAACAACCCGAACACCAAAAAGTCCAAGGAGCTCATCGTGGACTTCAGGAAAAGTTAACCACCCACATCCAGCCATCTGCATCAAGGGGACAGCGGTGGAGCTTGTGGACAGCTTTAAGTTCCTGGGAGTCTCCATCCCCAAAAAAACCTGACCTGGACAACCAGCTGCTCGAAATTCATCCAGAATGTGCAGTAGGACCTCTTCTTCTTGAGGACCCTGAGGAAGAACCATCTGTTGTAAGAGATCTTCATAAACTTCTACTGCTTAACTATCGAGAGCATCCTCACCAACTGTATCACAGTTTGGTATGGGAACTGCTCTGGCTCACACTGGAAGGCGTTGTAGAGGGTGGTAAAAACTATCCAGCGCATTGATGGGGCACTGCTCCCCTCCATCAAGGACATCTACAGGAAGCAGTGTCTGAAAAGGGCCAGAAAAATCACCAAATACTCCACTCACCCTGCACACTCACTCTTCTCACTCCTGCTCTCTGAAAGGCCTTACAAAATCCTATGACCTAGAACCACCAGGCATCTGGACAGTTTCTTCCCCACAGCTGTCATGCTCCTGAATGCCTCCTGACACCAAATATACAGTAAGGAAAAAAGTATTTGAACACCCTGCTATTTTGTTCTCCCACTTAGAAATCATGGAGGGGTCTGAAATTGTCACCGGAGATGCATGTCCACTGTGAAAGACATGATAAAAAAAAAATAAAAAATCAAGAATCACAATGTATGATTTTTTTTTAAACAATTTATTTGTATGATACAGCTGCAAGTAAGTATTTGAACACCTGAGAAATTAATGTTAATATCTAGCCTTTGTTTGCAATTACAGAGGTCAAATACTTCCTGTAGTTTTTCACCAGGTTTTCACACATTGCAGGAGGGATTTTGCCCCCATCCTAGATAGAGATCTTTTCTAGATCAGTCAGGTTTCTGGGCTGCCACTGAGAAACACAATTTGAGCTCCCTCCAAATATTCTCTATTGGATTTAGCTCTGTAGAGTGGCTAGGCCACGGAAGAACCTTGAAATGATTCTTGCAGAGCCACTCCTTGGTTATCTTGGCTCTCTGGTTCGGGTCATTGCCATGTTAAAAGACTGAGCCTCAACCCTTTTACATTGCTCTGAGGGAAGGAAGTTGTTCCCCAAAATTTTGCAATACATGGCTCTGGTAATCCTCTTCTAAATACAGTGGCGTCACCCTGTCCCATGTGCAGAAAGACACCCCCTAAGCATGATGCTCCAATGCTTCACATTAGGGATGGTGTTCTTGGGATAGCACTCAGCATTGTTCTTCCAGCAAACAGTTAGTTACACAGTTAGTGGAATTATGACCAAAAAGTTCTATTTTGGTCTTATCTGACCTCATGACTTTCTCCAATGACTCCTTTGGATCACCAAAATGGTCATTGGCAAACTCAAGATGGGCCTTGATATGTGCTGCTTGTGCAGGGGAACCTTCCGTACCATGCATGATTTCAAACCATGAAGTCTAAAGGTTTACTGTACCAACAATAACCTTGGAAACGGTGGTCCAAACTCTTTGAGGTCATTGACTAGCTCCTCCCGTGTAGTTCTGGGCGGATTTCTCATCTTTCTTGGGATCATTGAGACCCCACGACGGGAGATCTTGCATGGAGTCCCAGTCCAAGGAAGTTTCGGGCCTGTTTAGCTTATTCCATGTTCTAATGATTGCTCCAACAGTGGACCTGTTTTTACCAAGCTACTTGGCAATTTCCCCGTAGCCCTTTCCATCCTTGTTGGGATTTACAATTTAGCCTCTAGTGTCTTTGGACAGCTCTTTGGTCTTGGTCATGTTAGTGGTTGGATTCTTATGGATTGTATGGGGTGGTCAGGTGTCTTTATGGAGCTAACAACCTCAAACAGGTGCATCTAGTTTAGGATAATACATGAAGTGGAGGGGACATTTTGAAGGCAGGCTAACAGGATCAGAATTCTAGCTGATAAAAAGGTGTTCATATACCTATTTGCAGCTGTCCATCCATCCATCCATCCATCCATCCATCCATCCATCCATCCATCCATCCATCCATCCATCCATCCATCCATCCATCCATCCATCCATCAACGTCCCTCTCCCAGGCCACTTGGGCCAGTTGCCCCTGGGGAATTCCAAAGCATTCCCAGGCCAGCCCAGAAACATAGTCACCCTAAACAGATGCATGAGCCATCTCAACTACAGCTGTATCATACAAACAAATAGTTATAAAAATCATACATAGTAATTTCTGGATTTTTTTTTTTTTTTACATTATGTTTCTCATAGTGGAAATGCACCTACGAACACAATTTCAGATCCCTCCATGATTTCTAGATAGGAGAACTTTCAAAATAGGAGGCTCTTCAAATACTTATTTTTTTCACTCCGTATATAATCCATATCCAAACTTTCCTGTATGATTTGATAAAGTTTTCATGTTTGTTTATTTTATAGCCTCTTACAATTACTCTCTGTTTATATATACCATTTACAGTCAATACATACAGAATCTCTGTGCACATGTAAATAAATGTTTACGTCCTGTATAGCACTTCTGGATAGATGCAAAGTACATTTTGTTGCTTTGTACTTTTGACTGTGTAATGACAATAAAGTTGAATCCTTTTCTATTCTATATTGAATTAGGTTTTCTCTCTTTTTATTCTGAAAATGTTTTGACACCTATCCAGGAGACTGTCAGTTCTGTCTGCTCACACCAGAGGGGTGCCACCAGTGATGCAAATTAACAGAACTGGCAAACCTCCTTGATAGGTGTCGAAACAGTCTTCACAAACAAACTTAGCGAAAATCTGGTTGCCTTCAAATTTAAGCCTGTTTTGTGGTCACCTTTAAAATATTACAAAGTTAAGGGAGACTTGATAACTGTTCTTTATGCAAAACAACATTCTGTGTTGTTTCGGTACCTGTTTTTTGCAAGGTGTTTTTCCCGTAATTTAAATAAAGCTGAAGGAAATATTTGCAGTCTTCTGTCAGTGCAAACTTCCAACCCTGAGTATCACTGTTCCAGTTGTGTTTGGTGATAACAGTCTGATGTCTTGGGGTGATCCATGTGAGAGTTTTCAGGTCAAAACGTATGAGATCTTCTCCATCATAGCCAAACTGACTAAAGGCATCCAATTCTTTGGTTTCATCGTCCCAAAAACATCCATTCATTCTTTGATAAATATGAACACCTAAGAAGAAATTAAGAAAATGTGAAAATACAAAAGTAAAAAATAAAAACAGCAAGAATCAAAAACTTTATAAAAATCACATAAACAAGATAGTTTAACAATATTCCATAATTGTAATCAGGTAAAAGATGCACTTGTATTTCACAACAATTTGAATGATTAGTGATTAACATACTTTTAAATTGTTTAGGCTTTTCATAAAAAATTTAACTTACCCTCCGACTGATTAAAGCGATTTATCAGTGTTTTAATGGTTGCTTTGAAATCCAACCAGTTGTAGTAGCATTTGTTTTTTAACCACTTCAGATGGTGAGGATCATCCTCTAAAAGTCTGTTCATCCAAGGTGTTCTGGGTTTGATCTCTTTGTTGCTGTCGCTGTCACAGTAACCAAATTGAACTCCATTGACTGTTCCATAAGCAAAAAACTCAGGAAGCTTTGAGATTCCTGACATACCACAAAGGGTAAACACAAGGGAGTGTATTTCTGTTGAAAAACATAATTTTCAAGTTATACTGAGCTGTTTTCAGTATTATGTTTAGTTTTCCAAAGAGAATTGAGATAGAGAATTTATTCATAACATTTCTTAAACAATGAGAGATTGAGATGGGGAGATTTTATATATTTTAACTAATATAAGTCCTGCCTCTATTTCCCTCCTTTGTCAGCCTACTCTTCTTAAAGGATCTTTGAACCAGGTCTCCTATAGAGTGATCATTGAGGACTAAGCGGATTACCCCTTTTGTAAAGTGCAAGTATAATGGAAAGGGCTATGAATAACAAGAATGTATATTAAGGATACAACAAAGGGAACAAATAAATGACAAGAAGTGGAAAGTAGAGAAAAGGAAGGAAGAGTATTAAACATAAAACATAAAGCTGTTTCCAGTGACTGGGTATTTCACTTAAGATGTTATTCTCATTGTTGAGGATCAAATGTGAAAGACATAAACAGGAGCAACTCCCCTGACATCACATCCCTGTGACAGAGTTTACTTAAGCAGCCGACTCCATTCAGTTGCCATCTCAGTTGAGGCGAGACGGTTTTCAGCTAAAGCTACGTCGTAGCCACCAAAACCCCTCAGGAGAAGAGTCTTCATTTTCTGGCTGACTCACTAACTACAATTCAGAAGAGCTTAATCTGGCTCTATCCATGGATCAGCTAAGCCCAACTACTGTTCGCACAGGAGCCATTTTAAGTAGCGGAGCCATGCTAGACTGGTTCTGGCATTTCCTGGAACTGTAAAATCAACAGATCGTGACACATTGGTCCGGTTGCGGTTTGGAGCTGCGCTGACGCCATCTGAGCCACTGCTACAAGCTATCCACCACCTTAAAGGGATCTCCATGCTAAGGATGCTCTGAGTGAAAAAATGAAGTCCAACAAAATTGAATTCTGTTATTTGCTTTCAATACCTCAGATCTCTTAGAGAGCTACATATTGGATGAGCGGATTGTGTTTGAACAGGACAAATCAAATCGAGTCAGACTCTAGCACGGAACCAAACCCTCAACCCCTTATCGGATGCTTAATAAATACTCTGCTTGGGCAAAAGATAGAATATATATTTTATATGTGTTGTTTGTGTGTCAATGATTTCTGAGTCAACTGCTGATAATATCAAAGTAGGAGTTCTGAACTGAATACTAATGCTCACTGAGCCTGACTGAAAGATCCAATTCCATTTATTTGAAGAGCTTAAACAGTTATGCTAAAACGGTTGGACTGGATAGCATTGTAAGCTCCAAGCTACCTCATTGCTGGTGCCATGGTAGCACTCATTTTGTAAACCTCTAATTCTTTTGCTCTAGCTTGCCCGCCCTGGAACCGGTACCAGTTGAAATAACCTATTCTTTATTCCTCAGTCATTGTTTATTTATTTACAGTTTGATTGCATTTAATATTTATCCTGATAATATTAACATTTATCTGATGCTATGCTTAATGCTTTCAAGGAATGTATATGAAACTTGATTCTTACTAGTACAATTCTTTTGACACTTTGAAATTTAGGAATGTAATAAATATATTATCAGAGTTATAACTACTAAAAATTAGATTTTGACCAGGAAGAATCATATTTTAGTGATTAACAAATGAGAATACTTATAGGAACATGCTTTTAATAAATGACAAAATGGCCTGATATATAGGGCTACAAATAAACTTATGCATTAATTCTTCTCTCAAGTCATGTCTATCTCCTTTGCAGCTTAAGCACTGTTGTTCTGTTCTTTAAAACTATATGCCTGAAGAAAAATCTCTATTCTTAGTGGTGTAAAATGGAAGACTTCCTATTGCATATTGTCATGGTGACTTGAATTCGGGGGGATACTGAGGTCGTATCCTCTATATTTCATAAATTTATTTGTTGCTTAAATTGTGATATAAAGTAAAATAAATAACACTGAAACTGACTGTAGGATGATGATCATGGTCTCACGCTAACTGTGAGGTGTTTTATATTTGAAAAGCCCAAAGTAGCACAACTATTTGATCATAAGTCATCGTCATCATGCACTGTCGCTATGGTAACTGCCACACACAAGCTACTGCCTTGTGAGTCTGTCAGTCCAAGGAAGTGGTGCACATCAAGCTACTAATGTAGGCGCAAAGCAGTATCAGTTGTTCATGACAATGAGAAAAAAATGCATTTCCATGAGGAAAGATTTCAGCCCAGGAAGGTACTCAGACAGCAAGGGTACCTCCCTTTAAATCAACAAAAGTTGATTTATCTCTGCCAGGACTAGTCATCAATCAATTTCCACCGACTGAATCAACATTCATTATGCGATTGACATGTTAGCGAAGTCTACGGCTGAAAATTAAACACGTCTTCAGCTTTGGTTTTTCAGTGCTTGGTGTTGTACCAAAATGACAAATAAACGTAATTGATCCATGATATTAAATGTATATTATTTTGATTTCTATGAGTTTAGATTGATTTTGTTGATATTCGTCCCTAAAGGTAAACAAAATATGGAGGAAAAGGCTAAGACAAACCTATCTCCTCTTTGGGCCAAGCACCAAGAAGAGCGGTGAGGAGAGAGATAGAGGGAGAGCAGGTACTGAAAAGGAAGATGCTGCTCCTGAACAGTTTTAAAAGTTGGATGTCTAATGCATGATAACTGAAGTATTGTGATATTGTAATAGAAATATTTATAATTAGGCACCATCATCATAATAGTACAATTAGGGTCTGGGTGATTATTTTAAATGAACTAAATATACAGCAACTTATTTCAATTATACTGGAATGTCTTTTGTGACACATTTCTAACCAGTTGTAGACAGAAGCTTCAAAAGAAACATGACATTAAAATCAAGTATATAATGTGTGAAATGTCAGGCAGGGGAGACAGGAGAGAATACAGTTACAGCAAGGCATTTTCAAAAGATACAAAAATGTTTTTGCTCCTTAAGACTCTGAAAATGGCCAGACTTAAATAATGGAATTAAAAATGTCTCTGTGGAGCACCCCGCTGAACCATTCTAGAAGTTCTGACTCTTGCCCTCAGTATTTTTTGGGGCATATTTCCATGTACTTAAGTGGTAAAGTGATAATAGAGCTTGTCACCTACCATGCAAATTGCTACCAATATGTAAGCCAGTTGACAGCACTCAAATTTGAAACCATGTTCAGGGTGAATGCACTATTATTAAATCTTTGGCACATACAAACAACATACATAACTTTAATACTACAAAGCTTTATTACAACATTCACAGACTGCATTATCTATTTTGTCAGCTATCCCTGTAGTTTTAAGTAACAAATGGAAGCTAAAATAAATGCATTGACACAGAGAAAAAAATCTATGTACCTGGAGAAGCAATCCGGCATATAAGAAGAAACAAATAAAAAAACTTCATCTTGTTTTTAGGTAGCCAATATAGGGGCAGTTCTCTTGTCTTTTGCATAACAGGAACACTAGAAAGAAAACAAAAGTTAGGTTAGCTTACAATCTTCAGCAATGGTACTGGTAATTTTGCATCTTTGCAGTTTTAAAAATTTCAGTTTTCTGGCAATGCTGCTGCAGGCTTTGTACTCTTCTGATGATACCCAAATCATTGAGACAAATATTAAACTTACAAATGTAAATAAAAGAACTGCTAAGCATGGATCCAATGGTTGACAACATTCAATTTCAGGTCTCTGTGATCCTGTTACTCCTTACATAATCTATTATTATTTGTCCTTCCAGGTGCTCAAAAGCATCTGTGATCCAACTTAAGCAAGGACACTAGTGAGAACCAGGAGAACCAATTAAGACCCCTAGTTGGGTGTGTTACGTATTATTACATATGTTCAAGAATTAAATGATATTGTAAAAAAACTCCTTTCAGGTGCACAACATCCAAAACAAGAGATAAAAAATCATTAGAAAAAAGAAACTTTGATCCACAAATTAACAGAGCTACCTTAATATGCAGTCATCTTGAGCAAGAGTTATATTTTGCCTGTCAAGTACGCCGAAACCCTACAAAAGGCTATGTAATGTAGAATGTCTGGAACTGCCTATTACCTGGATGATGTAATGGTCGTTGGAGAAAAAATAAGAGCAAGTTAAACAGAGACTCATGTGACTTTAAAAGGTTTGATAAGGAAGGTCTAATTTTCGATGGAAACTGATGTATGTTTGTTGTCAAGGTTTTGGTTGAGGTTGAGGACCCATATGCAGAGGCAGAGAGGCTGAGGTGATTTCTTGGAGTTTTAATGGAGAGGTACAGGAAACAAAGGCAGGAATCCAAAAATCCAACTAATAATGAAAAGCAAACCAGAACCAAGGGGACATCTGGGGAAACCAAACACGAGGGGCCAGGGAGAGACAAGGTAGGTAGACAGCTGCATGAGAAGACAGCAAAGACAAGGAACCAACAAAGAGTGACAGCAGAGGGAGAGTATAGGGCTACGTCTCAATTCGCAGGCAGCGTACTTCGAAGGGCCCAGCCTACCCAGCCTTAGGAGGACCAAGCCTTCGGAGGATGCTCCGGAGGATCCTCGGCCATTGGTAAATGGGACGGTTTAGCCTTTGGAGCACTTCCTGGTTGCGACACGACGTCATCACGTCTACCCCAACAACAGCGTGAAACAAAATCCGACAGCTTGAGAAATATGGAAAGAAGTGGAAGGGGAAGAGATCGTGAGCTCGGATGGTCGTTTGGTGCATGGCGCGTGTTTTGAAGCCGCTTGTGGAGAAATGTCCTGGGCCGTGAGTAGTGAGAAAACAGGAAGCGATTCTTGTGGGATGGAAGAGGGAAATAGTGATAATGAAGAAGGTTGGAAGTTGCAACATCAAAAAATGAGAAAAAGCAGAAAAAACAGAGATCAGTTAAAGGGGAGTCCAGTTCAGAACAATCCAGTGATGATCAATCCATACATTCCACAGGAAAACAAAATTAATACAAAGTCATATTCAAAGTCCTTAATCAGGCAGACTCTTTTACAAATTGGAATCCGGTTCACTTAACAAAAACCATAAATAAACTTGTAGGAGAAGTCAGAGGTGCCAGAATTCTGTACAGTGGAGACTTGTTAATCAATTGCAGACACTGTTGATCCGAATGGAACATACTGCTGCTTATTGTGGCTGTGAAGTGAGCAAAAGGTCTGAGGAAATAAAAAAAATGAAATTTGAGCTCGGAATTACGTACGCTGAAGGTGCTAAAAGGATCCCATCTCAGTCAGGAAAAAACAAACCAACAGTTCAACACACGGCATATTCCAAACCTCTAGAGAAATCTCCAAAAATTGATGAAGACTCACTAATTCTTAAAAAGAGAAATTTTGTTCTATTCATGGTGGAAGTGTTTAATTGTACTGCACAAACGACAAGAAAAACCGAAAAAATCTAAATAATAATGAAGGCTGCAGAAAAATATCTGGACGTGAAAGATTTAAACTGGGAGATGGTTGGAAGCATGATGGGAGGACCGATGGGACCATCAGAAACAGGCAAACTGACGATGACCTAAAGTTAAATTAAAATTATAAGGGCAAATGTGATTTAGTATTTATTATGTTAAGTTACACAGGGTTTTTTTTGTTTTTTGTTTCTGGGGTGAATCGTTTCCTGTTTCCTTGCTTTAATCCATATCAGTTGGTGGCGGTAATGCACATTTCACAAGGTTGCCAACCGCAATAAAATCTCATAAGAAGAAGAATATAGAAAGAAACAACAAAAACAAAAAAATTAAAATGTAAATTTTTATTTTATTTTTTAAATGTTCTTGTTATTGGAGGAGGAGAGTCGGCTTTGACGGCTTCAGCGACAGCAAAACCAACGATGGATTTTTCTCAGGCTGGCAGAGCGCAGTGGAGAGGTAACATTTACCTGCTATTAGTTTCCCTCACAGGGGCCTGCTAATGATCAGAATATACCAGTTATTAAACAAACGTTTGTCAGCAGATTGACGAATATGTTTAAATATCAAATTTTATATTTATTTGTAAGACTTGATATAAGCTTGTTTGCAACTTTAGTAATTTGAATTGAATAGTTAAATGTGTACAAACCCTGTAAATAACTGATTTAAATCGCTACTTTCACTATCACTAATGTTGTGTTGAGAAGCCAAACTGTAATATTGAGAAATAAATCATTATTTGTCTAAATTGTTATCCCCTTACTGCCTGATTTTATTTGCAATTATATAACAAAAACATAACACAGGAAAAAAAATCTAAATATAAAAACGAGAAAAAAAATTAAAAGGTGGATCTAGATGAAGTAAAATTAAATTTCTAATAAATGATGTAATAAAGATAATGAAAAAAAGATAATGACTGAATAAAAATAAATATTTTTGTCTTCTTTTTTTTCTACAGGTTATTGCTGCATGTGCTGTCCTGCACAACATCTGCCTGGGAGCCGGTGACATCATGGCCCCAGAGGATGAAGAGCAGGA